ATTCTCTCAAAAGTCATCTATTATCTTGAAATTGCCAAGTCAGATAATCATTTCTCAGTCCTTATTTGGCTACTCCTTTGGCTTCCATGATACACACCTGCTTGGCTCTTACCAGCTCTTTCTCAATCTCCTCCACTTGCCACTTTAAGAGTCTCACCGTCTCCCAGGCTGGAGTGCCGTGGTGAAATCTTGGCTCACTATAACCTCTGCCTCCTAGGTTCAAGTGATTCTACTGCTTCAGGCTCCCGAGTAGTTGGGACTACAGGTATGCGCCACCATGCCTGGCTAATTTTTTGTATTTTTAGTAGAGACAGGGTTTGGCCATGTTGGCCAGGCTGGTCTTGAACTCCTGACCTCACACTTGCTACTTAAATATTAGGTTGGTGCAGTTACTTTTAGGTTTTATTTAGGTTGGTGCAGAATCTTTTCTTGATCTCCTATTCCCTTTCCTTTCTAAAAATACCAATGTTGCAGTCTTAATTCCTGGTTCTATGAATTAGCAGCCATGAGACCTTCAACACATTTTTTAACCTCTTTGAGCCTCAGCTTCTTTATTTACAATTTGATGATGATAATGTCTACCTCAAAATGTTGTTAGTATTACATGAAATACAGTATAAGTACCCTAGGACAGTGACAGACATATAGTAAGGGCTCGATGCATGGCAATTGTTTTTTTTCTTTTTTTTTAAAATACTCTCTCCCTCTCCTCTTAAACATTAGATGATGGATGTTAATAAGTATAATAAAGGGTGTTTAACACAAGTGCAACTAAACAGAAGACTAATTCTCTCAACATTAGTTGTTTATCACGCTTAGAAAAACCTGGCTGAAAATGCAACTTTTATGTTGCTCAATTGGGGATGGAGTGAAAAGAAAAACAAGTTTTACATGTATTCTTCAGTGCTTTCATATCATGACGCTGATTTTACTGCTTATTATTTCAGAAATTTTGAAGAATCTGAAGATGAACTGAGAGATGAAGTAGTAGAATCCTTAGAAAAACTCGCTACTTTCAAAGGGAAAGAAAAAACAGACGAGGCCTCCACTGCCTCTCAGGATTCTGGAAAGTCAAGAGAAAAAGACGGGATAAGTGTGCAGAAACCTGAAGAATTAAGTGAAGGTTTGGAGAATATTTCTACTCCATCTAATGACCACATTTGTATTACTGATGAAGACCAAGGAACATCAACGACCAGTCAGAATGTACAAGTGTGATTATTGTACTTTTTCTTAATAAGTTAGTATCTGTTACCTATAGTATTTGGGTACAAGTCACAAATGCTCATTTACTGTAAGGGTTTTCTAGTCATTGCAAGGATGTATTAATTTTTCTTTCAATTTAGAAAGTACAACTAACTTTTGAGTGTAGACATTAATATTTTTAAAGTTTTGATTAAGAAATCTTTCAGCTAACACATGGTAGGCAGAGTAATGTGGCTCAACACCTCCCTCCAAAACGTGTTCCGTCCTAATCCCCACAGTTTGTGAATATGGCAAAGGATAATTAAAGTTGCAGGTGAAATTGTTTGCTCATCAGCTGACCTTAAAATAGGGATGTTATCTTGGTTTATCCACGTGAGTGCAGTGTAATCACAAGGGTCCTTACGAGTGGAAGAGGAAGGCAAAAGAGAAAAGCAGAGAGATGGCAGCATGAAAAGGACTCAGCCTGATGTTGCTGGCCTTGAAGGTGGAGGACAAGGCCACAAACTAAGAATTCTGACAGCCTCTGGAATCTGGGAAAGGCAAAGAAATGGATTCTTCCCTAGAGCCTCCAGAAGGAACACAGTCCAGCCAACACCTTGATTTTATACTGGTGAGATCCACTTCAGATTTCTGACCTGCAGAACTGTAAGATAATAAATTTATGTTAACTAAGTTTGTGATAATTTGTTAGGACAGCAGTATAAAACAAATACAATATACAGATTCATTCATTTAACATAATGAATCTGCTGTTTTATAAAACTGATTTTGAAATTTCTTGTTACATTGAATATACTTTTTTGAAACTGACGTTGACACAGGAATAAGGCAATTGAGCAAGAACAAGGCAGGGTGTGTTAAGTATGCACTAAATGACCATTTTGTTTTATTGGATTAGTTTCCAGTAGTTTCAGGTGTATAGGTTGAGGGCAGGGACTGTATCTGGTCTTTATATCTTATAATGATCTCTTTATATACAGTTATTAGTACAGTCAGAAATGTTTCTTGAATTAGTATATAGCAAAACATTTCTTTATTAAGACTATAAGCTGTTTGGTGTAGGAGGCTAGACTTAAACTTTTTTTAATTGATCATAACAATTCCAAGGTTGAACATGTGCCTGGAGCTTACCAGATGTTTATTTAAACACTAATGAGTGTTTAAATAAAGTCTGGGCTTAGGAAGGAGAAAGTGGTTGTATTTCAATGTGGTAGAATTCTGCCTGAAATATCTGCTCTATAATAAAAGTCAAATGTCTCATTGATGCATTGTTAAGCTGAGAAAATAAAAATGAGGTGAGGTTGATCAGATAATTTCTTTTTTTTTTTTTTTTTGAGACGGAGTTTCGCTCTTGTTACCCAGGCTGGAGTGCAATGGCGCGATCTCGGCTCACCGCAACCTCCGCCTCCTGGGTTCAGGCAATTCTCCTGCCTCAGCCTCCTGAGTAGCTGGGATTACAGGCACACACCACCACGCCCAGCTAATTTTTTGTATTTTTAGTAGAGACGGGGTTTCACCATGTTGACCAGGATGGTCTCGATCTCTTGACCTCGTGATCTACCCGCCTCGGCCTCCCAAAGTGCTGGGATTACAGGCTTGAGCCACCGCGCCCGGCCTGATCAGATAATTTCTAAGGTCTGTTTACTATTTACATTTCATATAATTTTCATTAAATGTGGAGAATGCAAGTCATTTGAGTCACCTGAGATATGTCCAGTTTGGAGTATCGTTAATGGAGTATCTGCAGCTCTTTCAGTGCTCAGTGTGTATACGTGTTTATTTACTTTCAGGACTAGTTCATAGGAAAACTGTTAGTGACTTCATTTAATCCTTATTCTGAACAGTATTTGAAAGCAATGGAAATGAAACATGATTCCTAAAAACCCCAAACATCCAAAGGTCAAGTCAACTAAACGAAAAAAAAAAAAGGGAGAAAAAAAAAAAGAATGTTTAAGGATGATAAATGAACAGGCCAGGTGCAGTGGCTCAAAGTGGTAATCCCAACACTTTGAGAGGCTGAGGCAGGAGGACTGCTTGAGACCGAATTCAAGACCAGCTTAGGCAACATTGGGAAACACCCATCTCTACCCCCCACCCCCAAAAAAGAAAAAATTAGCTGGTGTGATGGTGTGCACCTGTGGTCCCAGCTATTCAGGAGGCTGAGGTGGGAGAACCACTTCAGCTTCAGCCTGGGAGGTTGAGGCTACAGTGAGCCATAATCCTTGATCACATCACTGCACTCCAGCTTGAGTGACAGTAAGACCCTGTTTCAAGAAGAAAAAAAAAAAAAAAAAAAAAAAAAAAAAGCTTATCAGGTTATTGGTTTGTTCCCATGACAAGATGCTTGGCTAAAGTATTTTAGGTTAACAGTCACCAAGCTTTACTCAACAATTCTGAAATCTTTGCTGTAAACTGGAAGTATTCACTGTGATAAGTATACATAACATTTACAACTGGTTTTGGTCCCTAATTCTAGACCTTACCCATTCTACACACACTATTAGCTAAATTACGTTCCTGAGGCATGGCTCTGATTACTTTGCTCTGGCTTTAGCCTTGGCCTCATGTGTTAAATTGAAACTGTTCATCAGAGCTGTATGCATTATAAAATTTTTTATTAGAAAAATCAGCCTCTTGCTATTGATGTATGATAGTATCAAAGTGATCTTTCTGTAAATGGTAGCAATAAGTGTAACAATACTTCAACCTCCTCTGTATCTAGTAACATTTGCATATAGTCCAAGTGAGCACAGAGCAAGAATATTGAAACACATGCTTCTCCAAAGCCAAGGGTGGCCTTACATTTAGGGTGGGAAAAGAGGCAAATGAATTAGCAGAGGAGCAGCGGGAGATGGGGGGTAAATTGCAGGACATAATTTGCTTCTAAAAATTTGTGTAACATCTTGTAGTTATAAAATAAACTTTTCTATTGTACTGATTGACAGATTTGGCACAGACATACTCTCATTTATTGTGAATATATCAGCGTTCTGGAGTCTGGGGTATATTTATATAAACACAAATATTCTGAAAACATTGATAATCATACTGATCTCTATCTCATAATTTTGCCTATAACTTTATAAAATTCCTCAAAAATGATTTAAATCAAGTATACGAAGCTCTGTAGTTTTTTGTATGTCTGAAATATTCATTAAAAGTTTATTAAGCCTGACAACCTATTCTTAATGTTCCATAAGCAAGACAAACTTTTATTTTTCTTTCTTCTTTTATTGGCATATGGAGCTTGGGAATATTAGTGGGAGAACAAGATGACCATGTGAGGCATACAAAAGGCACTATGCTGGAAAGAATCCAAGGGAATGAAAAATCACTTATTTAAATCAAATTTAGACACAAACTTTGTATCTCTTAGATGTAAATCATGTCTAAATACAAATCTAAATCATATTTACAAATAATTATTACACAAAGCCTATGTAACACATCCTTTATAGTACACAACTGTAAATAAGAATACAAATCTCCACTGCTGTGGGTTCAAAACACAGCAGGCTTGGACCACTCAAAAATGACATTTGAGAGAAATTAAGTCATCCTGAAGTTCTGCAGGCAGATACTAGCAGACATACCACTTTGACACTTTTCATGCTGTCATTCAGAAAAAACAGAATACATGTTATACATTAGGAACATTGATAAAGAACATACATGCAAATTATATCTTCCAACGATTTATCTGTGATATATGAAAATCATTTAGAAGATGTAAGCTTAAAATATATCTTATGGAATTCCGGAAAACTTTTTCTTTACTACATCCTCTCCTTTTGCTCTGGGCATTTCAATTTATTTATCTATGGTCCCATATTTTCTCTGTGTAGATAAGTAGGCTGAGTATGAATCCTACTTCAAAATGTGGCTACAAAGTCAGAAAAAGCACTGGGCCAGGAGTCAGAATATCCAGGTTATACTTTTGATTCTTTCATTAAACAGCTTTGTGACACTGAAGGAGTCTGCCAAATTATTTAGATCTAAATTATTCTTGTCTGTAAAGCTGAAAATAAGAGAGAACTGGGCTAGAAAATCTATAGGGTTCCTTTCACTCCAATTTCTACCAGTCTTTTTCTAAATGGGATCATCTCTAACACAAAGTTACAATGGTGTGTCAGAACATCCTGTGACTGACCCTCTGTTGTGCTACTTTTTGATCTGATGACAGATGGCCTGCAGATAGATCAACAACCTAATTGGGAGTAGATAAGCTGGCCAGATTGGTGAATGACTGAGAAGAGACTGCAAAGGAATAATATACCCTTTCATTTGCCCCTTAGCGCAAAGATGAATCAGGCTACGGAGGGGGTCAATTCGCTGTACTAGAAAGGATTGATTATATAGGCAGAAAATGCAAAAGTTTTAGGTCTTTATAGCCATGTCTGCCCACATATGTATTCACTTTTCCATGCTAGTTTTTCAGGATAGAAGTTGCATTAAATTTATACCAATTCCTAGCTACTGGCCTAGTAATTAAGAATCTACATTCAGTTGTAATGCATTAATAAACATAGGATTATAGAAGACATTTACTATGTAATGCTACCTTTAATTAAAGTAACTCAATTTTCAAAGTAGTTTCACCAACTTTCCATCTGATTCCAACTCTAAAAGGTAGTAGGGACTGGAATTAACAACTCCAGATTACAGATGAAACATCAGACTCAGAAAGGTAAAGGAGCCGCTTTAGTATCAAAAGGTCAGAAGCTTGTGAATGATGAAGCTGAAGGTAGGCCCAGATATGCTAACTCCTTGCCCAGTCCTCTTTCAAAATGCTACTTTGCTCTTACAATGCATTATGCTGGTAAGACACTCTGTGGATGTATCTGTATATCACATAATCACTGTCAGAAAAACAACCTCAAGTTCTCTTGAATGACTTAAAGCTGACTTCCAGGCTGTCATTCAGTGTTGTTAAGGGATAATGAGACCCACACAAATGTGCTGACAGCACTAAACAAAAACAATTTTCACCAGTACCTAGTATGGAAAGGACTGCTGGCAGCACGTTGGCCTCTACTGTCCTACCTACACACACCTATAAAGCATCAGTCAGTCTCACCTCTGGCCTGTATGCTTTGTGAAGATGACCAAACAAGTTTGTTTAAAATTTCTTTTTTAAGGAAATCACTAGGTATATTCAAAAGGGTCATCCACTGTATTGTTTAGAATTTAAATGTACCAAATTTTTCTGTTCTAAAAATGTCTGATAAATTCTAAAGTACTAGTTAACTAACGGTCATCCATTTTCTTTTTTTTTTTTTTAAATGTGGCTGAACTACATGCAATGTGCTGAACCAGTTTTGGAATCCACCCTGTAGCAGAGTAAAACTGGACCAAAGGAAGTGGATTCGAGGCTCCAGGCTGTCACTCCTCCAGCTACTCAATCTACAGAGTTTTCCTTCAGCTGTTTTTTGTGATGTGTGGTGATTTGTTTTGGATTCCTCTGTATGACAGACAGGTCTGATCTTGTGGAAGACTGGTAGCCCACATCCTCTGCTTTTATGGGCTTAATGATATGGCCGGGCTTGGTAAGGACCTTGAGAGTAGTCAGCTTTTGAAAAGCCCTCTGAGTGTTCCATGTGGATCCTATGGGGGTCTGGATGGTCCTTTCAAATTGCTGATGGTGGATAAATGGATATGGAAGCACTCGTACCTGATGAGCCGCTGCATGGATGTTGCGCTTCTCATTGATAATCACATTTGGCAAATTCTTATCTTTTCTTGGAGGACCCTCTGGGGCTTTAATGAGAAACCGGCGTCTTTTCTTGGCACTGGGCTTTAGGCCCACACCACCCCACTCACCCCAGCCAGGTAGTATCAGGTCCATGTCTTTTGGCTTACTCGCCTCTACGGCTTCCTTCTCTTTCAAGAAATCTCTGATGACATCATCCCCAGCAAAAGCTTCCTTTATCATCTGCCTTTGGTCTCTCTCCTCTTCATCTTCCAGCTCCTCTATTGTTGTGGGAACTGCCAAAGACCTCATGGAAGGAGACTGTGTGGTGAGGAGGTTCTGTAGGTCGATCATTTGCTCCTTCTTCTTCTCCTTAGGGGCATCAGGCCAATTATTTGGGGTCCTCTCTGACTGCTGCCCTTCTAACACAGGTCTGGGAAGCCCCTTATTTTGAAAACAATCTTCTTTTCCCAGCTCTTCCAGAGTCTGTACTCTCTCTGGCCTCTCTGGCAACAGGGACTCCTCTTCTTCTGGGGCAGCTTCCTCTCTCTGGACCTGGGGAACAGTCCCCTCTGAACTTGCCTTTTGCTTCCTGGACTGATGGTTTTTCTTCAGTTTCTGAGTTAGTGCCCTCAATTCAGACAGCACCTCCTGGCTGCTAGAATCTTTTGTTTTTTGACTGCCTGCTGGCTCAGCATCTTGGTTAAGCTCAGAACTTTTTCTAAGGGATCTCCTTTCCTCAAATCCTCTCAACAAAATTTCTTCCTCTGCCGCTGGTCTTTCTTCTCTCTCACTTCCAGAAACCTCATGGGCTGCAGGCTCTGGCAGTTGCTCAGGGTTCTCCTGGGTTGCAACCTCTTTGGTGTCACTGGTGTAGCTCCTGAGCATCCAGGGATTCAGCCCATCCACATTCTTCTGCACTTCATTCACTACCTCAGGAACAAAGAGTTCTTCTACTTTTGCGCCTCCCTCCTCTTCTTCACTCTCAAAGGCTACCTGGAGTTTCTCTGTCAGTTCTTTGTTCTTGGTCAACTGTTCCTGCATAGCTTGGCGAGCCTCCAGGTCATATTTGGCCATAATTGCCTTTGACTTGGCCCATCTCCCACTGGATTGGTGCTTAAGGCTCATTCTTTCTATCATTCTGGCATTTTCAATTTTTTCCAGTTCTTCCAATGCTGCAGTCGGATTAACCTTCTGCAGCTGCTCAAAGTCTTTTAAGGCTTTCTTGGCCTTTCCTTTCTTTACAACTTTGTGATACTTTTTATTTTTGATTTTCTTCTCTCTTTGAGCCTTGGCCTCATAGTAGGACTGCCGAGCCCGGGCCCTCTGAAGCTCTGCTCGGTGCATCTTTGCCTCTTCCAGGTTCATGGCTTGGAGACAGGCCTTTTCCATGGGAGTCAGTAAAGGGTCTGTCACTGGCTGCTTGTTCTTATGGAGGAGGGTAAAAATTTCCTGCTCCAGGGGAGTTCTTGCCTTCCAGCCACTGAGCACATGTTCAATGGGGGCAATGGCTGGCTGCTCCTTCCCTAGGGGGAAAGCCAGTTGCTCTGCCTGCCGGTTCTTCAGGATGACAGGGTCCCATTTGGAGAGGATTTGTGAGGTTTTACTGAATGCTACTTCTCTGTGGATCTGTTCAATCTTTTCTTTGTTAAGAGGTAACTCCACTACCTTCTTTGATTTGACTCTATTCAGTTGCTTTTTCACAGTGGCCAAAGAAGATGAAGTTTTAACAGGCTCAAGCAGATCTGCAAGGACCAGCTTTTCTCCTGATCCTTCAGAACTGACATTGAACTCTAACACCTTCAGACCAGCCTCAGACCTCTCAGTCAATTTCTGCCTATTCTTTCCATTAAGGGAACGGATTGCTTCCAGAAGTTTTTGATGCTTTCTCTCTCCATCACTGTCCCCCTCATCTTCACTCTCACTCAAGGGGTGGTCTTTTGGCAAATCCACCAGTTCTTCCTGTTGGCTCAAAGCCAGAAGGCTCTCCACAACCTGGTTCGCATTCATTTCAGCAGCCACCTTCTCTCATGTGGGCCAAGAATGAAAGCCGAAGTCTGGTCATCTATTTTCCTTTCAACACTTCCTTTTATTCTAAAAGGAAATTTTCTTTCCTGTTTTCTAAAGTAAAGTGATTTGACAAATGAGATTGAATTTAGAAAAATATTTACATATGAAGGTTTTTAACCATTTTATATAAAATATCTTTAATTTTACAGATATGGCATTACTAAAATAACTTTTCTACAGATGATAGAAATGCCACTTCAAATTCCTGATCAGAGAATCTGCTTACAGATGCACGGGCACTTTTTCTGATTTGAAGTCTCTTTTCTGCAGACATGGAAAGAATGTGAGCCATAGTTTCAGCATAGCCTTCTTCACTCTCAGCCAGAAAGCCAGTTATATCTCCTTCGTGAGGAACAACAATGTCAAGCTTCGGGCCCCCTGAATTGTGTGCAAGGATAATTGTGCCAGCTGCCATACACTCCACAACTCCTGAAAAAGAAACAAAAATCATGTAGTCTTGTAAGTTTTTGAGTATGTTCAGAAGAATGAGGATGAGTACAAATCTTCAAAAATTTTAAGGGACTTATGAGAAAATTAAATATATGTCTAGACATTTGCTTATTTAACTTCTATAATACAAAATAAAAGAATTTTAAGTTTTTTAGTTTTCAAAGCTTCACAATAATGCTGCTTCATTTTTTTTTTCTTTTGTAGAGCTCAGGTCTCAATATGTTGCCCAGGCTGGCCTCTAACTCCTAGCCTCAAGTGATCCTCCCATCTTGGCCTCCCAAAGTGCTGGGACTTACCAGCATGAGCTACCATGCCTAGCCTGCTGCCTCATTCTTAATTAAAATAGACAAGTAGATGGAAGACTAGCCTATTAAAAAACAGATATATTGCGGATAATTAAAAAAGACTAGAGAATGTTACCAAGATGGTAGAATATTAACAGGTATTAGAAAAACAAAAGGAGTAAAAAGATATCAAAAACAAAATTTTAATAGTTCAAATTACATTATTAGCAGAAAAAATAAAAGATGTAAATCACCTAAGTGAAGCGTACTATTGTGGTGCTTATGTTACTGCCTGGGTTATGGCATATTTGAGACTATTGTGTGCCCAACAGCAGTGTTGAACTAAATGGAAGCTGTGGTTAGTTTCTGCTAAATGATACACATGAAATATAAATTACTCTAGCCAACATTTCTTAGCTGTATTCCTAAGAGAATTAAGCCCTTCAGAGAATGATTTAAGTGACTGCTTTCCCAATTCTCTGAAGGATGGTACAGAGCTGATATCATCCTGGATGTACAGGAGAGAAATGAAATAATTCTAATGTTTTTAAAACAGTGGTGAAATCCCTGTAGAACAGACTTCAGTAGCTCATACCGTATTCTGCTTGAGGCTGGAGAGCATCCTGTACTTTCTCAGAGACCTGCATCTAATCAATGTTACCCTCTCCCTCTCTACTGGCTCCTTCCTATCAGCATTAAAGCGAGGGCGCCACATGTCCTTCCTCAGGTCCTACAACAACACCCCTAGCCATTGTCCCTTCTCTCCTGCTGCACTTCACAAACTTACTGAAAGTGTGGTTTGCACTTACCAACTCTACTTGTTCACTTCTGAGTGCTCAACTTTTAATTTTTGCTTACTGTCTGACTTTTGCTTCTAGTTCTCCCTTAAGAGTGCTCGTACCCAGGTCACCAGTGACTGCCTTACCTTCCCCAGCATCTGAGCAGCATCAAGTGGAATCTGTGCCCTCTCTCTGCTTCTCAAAACACTCTCTTCCTCAGTTTCCAAGACACTGCACTTGGCTGGCTTTCCTCCTTTCTCCATTTCTTCTCTCCATTTCTCAGCTGCTCCTGTTCTCTGCATTTTGTACTGAGAGCCTCTTCTCGCTCTGCACACATTCCCCAGGCGATCTTATCCACATCCATGGGAGCTTTGATAACTACCTTGTACAAGGACAATCCTCCATTTAGATTTCCAGAACTGATTCCTCTCCTCAACTTCAGACTCCTATATACAACTACCTCCTAGACACATGCCCTCACATGTCCCACAGATGAACTCAAACTATGCAGGTTCAAAATTTGGCTCATCAATGGCATTTGCTCTTAGATTTCCCCTCTGGGAGAAAGCCAACACCAATCTCATAGCTGCCCAGCTCCCAAAACTCTGGGTGGCCTTCTCTTCCTCCCTCATTTAACACATCCAATTAATGACCAAGTCTTGGTCAATACTACAGCAGAATCTCTCTCAAGCATGTTCACCTATCAAGTTCAGCTCACTAGCACCTCCGCCTGGGCTGCTACAGCAGGCCAGTTCATGTTACTGCCTTTCCAGTCTTGCTCTCCCTGCTCCTCACTGATCTATTCCCCATGTAACCAGAATGGACAGGAGAAACCAGAAAGCTTTTACATGCAACACTTAAAATCCTGACATTCTTTTCTGCTGGCTTAACCTGGCCCAGATCACCTCTCTGTTGTTTTTCTGCTGAGTGGTCCTACTGATGTATCCGTTGTCACTCCTGTCACAGTGCTGTTCCCTCTACTGGAGACTCTCCCCTCTCCTGGTTAACCTCTAATTATTGTTCGGGTCTTGCTCACGTGTCACATCACTTCCTTGGGCAACTGTTCCCTGCCCCCTTAGGTGTTTCTCTTTGGCATTCTCATATCACCCTGCACTTCCTCAGCACAGCACATGGTACAGGGCATGACATAGCACTTGCCTGTGTAGTCTTTTGGTACCATCAGAGGGCGGGAAGCCTCTGACAGGCTAAGCAGCTCTGGTCTCTACCACATCCCTAGTATCCACCCAAGTCCCTAGCACAGAATGAATGCTTAGTAAGTTTCTATGAAAGGAAGCACAGGAGGTCAGATCCCATGCAAAAGGTTGGGTCAACAAGTTCTTGCTGCATGTCTGGGCCTAGTACTATACTACTAACTAGGAGTAAAAAAAAAAGTATACGAGAAATTGCAGTCTTAGTTTAGGAAATGTCACTTTTATGTTATCCTCATTTTCCCTAACAACTAACAGTGTGAGGCACAAAGCACTTGAGAAACATACGCAGACTCACATTAAACACAAAGCAGTACTTGATTTTATAGCATGCTTAAAAGGTCAGAATAGAGATAGCAGTTCGAATTGGAATAAACAAGGCTAAAGGGCAGGAGACTGAAGTTGAAGACTTATGATGGGATCTGGCACAAAGAAGAGGGCCATTCCAATGATGAGGGTAGAATCAATAAAAGACTAAAATAATTACTGTGAGAAGCCCCTAGGCAAACAATGGTTTTCAACTTTTGATGCAAAACAGAATCACTTAAGCAGCATTATCAAAATATATCTACCTAGGCCTGGTCCAGAGATTTTCATCTGGCCATTCAGTAGGATTAGGGTAGGGCTGGGGAATCTGTACCAGTAAGTATGAAGTGGGGTTAGATGGGGAGAGAAAATGTTGCCGTTAAGAGCAGGGGCTATCTGGGTTAGAATCCAGGCTCTACCCACTTAATTACTGTGTAACTGAACTTGAGCAATTTCTAAACCTTCCTGTGCCTGAGTTTCCTTATTTATAAAATGAGAATAACAATAACACCTATCAAATAGAGGTTTAGAGGGGCTTGAATTAGATAATATGTGTACAAATCTCAACAGTGGCCTGCACACAGGAATTGGTCAATAAATACTAGTTGCTATTATTAAGCACAATCTTACAAGGTCTCAAATGAGGAAAATATATTTGGTGGATTAGGCGAGGAGAATTAGGGCACGAAGCAGACTTCTAGAGTATTATCATTTTATCAAAGGAACCTAAAGTGTATATCTCATGGCACCAAACAAGTTGTTTAAAGGCCAAACTCACCAATCCCAAAATGCTCGTTCCACATGGTATGCAGACCAATTGTTGCTTCCGACAAATAATTCTTTAATTCATCAAATGGAATGTTTATTTTAAATTCCACATATTCTTGAACTCCTAAATCCTCAGACAGCCTTCTCAGTTGGTTTACCCTAAGTTCATCATCTTTGTTACGACAACCTCCAATAAGGACAAGTTTAAGAGGAGATGATTCAACCATCTTCTTATTCAGCAATTTAGCAAAGGCTTTGATCTGCAATGGATGATTCTTTTCTGGCCTGAACTGGCCAACAGAAACCAGCACATGTCCTGGGGTTGTCTTTTTCTCATGTAAGGGAATGTCCAGAAATGTCTGCACATCGCAAGGTGGATAAACAATGTTAGTGCAATTCCCAACTTTCCACAGTGAGAGAATATGGTTTAGTGTCCAAGAAGAATTGACCATGACTACATCACTGCAAGAACCAACAAGTCCGTAAATAAAAGCAAATAAATAGTAGTAGATGAGCTTTACTTTGCTGAGAAAAGGATTCCTGGTAATGAAGGCAGCATTATTAAGTCCAACATTTTGATTCTTCACTATAGAGAGCATGTCGGTGCTGATAATAGGATAATGAACATAGCTTCCAACTTGGCAACCCCCTATATACTTAAACAGAGGAAGTGTAAAAGCGTATCCCATTGAATCAATGTAAACATCAGGAACACATTGCATTAGAGCTTCCCAGCCGAGAAAAACAGATCCTAGGCTTTGGCCCAGCAGTGTGAAGTGAGGATAGAGTGAATCTTCCACAAGATAGCGTTTCCTTAAAAAAACAAACTGGACTGGGAGAATTAATCTGATGTTAAATCTTCTGAAAGCACCTTCTAGTATCTGTTGACCGCTGACATTAACATCGCCGGTATAAACAACATAAACTGCTTCAGGATACCTAAAATAGAATGTAGTGGTTAAGAATGCATTAGGTTACAAAAATTAGCCGGACAGGGTGGTGGGCACCTGTGATTTTTCTACTCAGGAGCTGAGGCAGGAGAATCGCTTGAACCCAGGAGGCGGAGGTAGTAGTGAACTGACACTGTACCACTGGACTGCAGCCTGGGCGACAAGAGCAAAACTTCATCTCAAAAAAAAAAAAAAAATGTATTAGGTTAAAATCAAGCAAAAAGTTGTAGAAACCTGTTTTCTTACAATCATAAAGAAGCTTATTTTTACACTAAAAATGTTGTTTTCTATGTTTTTTATTTACTGAATTAGAACTACAGTCCCTCAAATGAGACTGTGACTTCTAGTTCTTTGCTATTTCCTCCACTTAGAGTTTCACACAGAACAGGCATCAACAAAATGTGTTGATTTATGAATGAGATGTTCTCAAGAAATACTCAAAAACTTTGACAGTGGTCTTAGCAAAAAATGGTAATAAAATACCATCAACAAACATGTCTTCTGATAGGCTCACAATGCTAAAGTAATGCTCAGGGTTTTTATCTGAAAAATGCAAAAAGGCTTTAAAAGCTAGATCTTGTGCCTGTATTACTAATTATTCTGAAAATATCTAAAAGTATATTCTTAGGACTTGTAATGCTTTAGTCTCCCCTGATTGTTTATATTATTATTTAAGTCATAAAACATTTTAAGCATCTAGTATGAGGTGCCAGGTTTTGGGGATATGGAAATGAGAGAGAGTCTTTATCTTTAGAAGCTCAGTCCAGTGGAAAAAACAGACATGCAAAACAAATAACTGCAAAACTGTGTGCTATGCATTGATAAAGACAGCCACAGGAGGCTGTGGAAGCCTAAAGGATGACAATCTAACTGCTCCTCTCTGGCCCCTTCCCAGTTACTCTTTATCTAGCAGAATGGGCCTTTTAAAACATAAAAAGATTGTGATCTCTGGTAGCCTAAAAATGCCCCCAAATTCCTTTTTTTTTTTTTTTTTTTTTTTTAAAAGACAGGGTCTTACTATCTGTTGCCCAGCCTGGAGTGCAGTAGCATGGTCTTGGCTCATTGCAGCCTCCACCTCTCAAGTTCAAGTGATTTTCGTGCCTCAGCACTGCTGGGATTACAGGTGTGCACTACCATGCCCAGCTAATTTTTGTATTTTTTAAGTAGAGATGGGGTTTCGCCATGTTGGCCAGGCTGGTCTCAAACTCCTGGCCTCAAGTGATCTGCCAGACTTGGTCTCCCAAAGTGCTGGGATTACAAGTGTGAGCCACTGTGCCTGGCCATGCCACAAATTCTTTGATACTTTTCCCATTGAGAGGTGGCATCTATGTCCCCTACTTTGGAATAACACTGGGCTCTGTGACTATTTTGACCAACAGCAAAAGTGACATTCTGCCAGTTTCTCAACATAGACTCGAAAGGGACTGGCAGCTCCTACTTCCTGTCCCTTGGAATGCTCGTGCTAGGAGAAGACAGCTGTCGTGTACGAGTGCAATCAGCCCATGACGGCTCTGTTGTGTACAAGCTCAACCCAGTCACATGAAGAGGCCCCTCAGTGAGAGATGCCAGACAGCCCCCAGCGGTTCCGGTCATCCCAGCCCAGGAATGAGAATGTGAGTGAAGAAGGCTTCAGATGCCTCCAGCCCCAGCTGCCATCTAACTGCAACAGTATGATGGAGACCAAACACGGCAACCCCTAAACTATGTCACAGAACAGTCAACCCCAAAACTGGCTTACTATAGCACTTAGAATAAAACCTGAACTAATTTCCCTGCTCACTCAAGTCCTGTGTGATCTGGAAACTGCCTCCCTCTGTCACCTTCCTTCCCATGCTTTCCTTTGCCCTCCAGGGTGCGGCCAAACTGGCATTCTTTTCTCTGAACATGCCAAGCTCCAACCAGCCTTAGGGGACTTGAAGTGGTTGTTCCCTCTACTCTGAATTCCCTTTTCTCATTTTCACTCTGTCTTTTCATAAGCCAGGTAGTTTAGCATGTGGTTCAGAACTTGGGCTCTAGTGCCCCAAGTTTCCTTCTTTGTCAAATGAGGATAATGGTAACAAGCGCATAAGGCTGTTCTGAGGATCAAGTAAGCTAACACATGTAAAGCACTTCAAACAATGCCTGACATAAAATTATCAAGCTACAAATGCAGCCGTTTTTATCATTCAGATTTTGGTTAGGTGTTATCAGCGATTTTCCTGATCACTCAATCTAAAGTATCAAGTCACTCCTATATTACCCTATTTTAATTTTTTATATAGCACATCTTACTATTGGATATTTTTCTTCTTTGCTTATTTTGTCTCTGTCAACTAAAATTGAAGGTCCAGGAGAGGACTTATCAATCTTGTTCCCTTCATCTCAACCCCTAGAACAGTGCCTGGCACATAGCAGATCCCCAATAAATACTGCTAGGTCGAATGAAAAGTGCACTGTAGCATATGTTCAGTTAGGAAAGACTTGTAGACGTTAACTGGGTAGAAAAAGGCTATTTCAGAAGAAAAGAACACCATATATAAAGGGAGGGACTCTAGAGAGAGCATGACGTGTTCGGCGAGCTGCTCCTTGTTCTGCATGTTGGAGCAGAGTACATGTGATGGAATGGGGAGGGATGAGAAACACAATGTGGCCAGAGCAAGATGAAAACGTATCTTCCAGGTCATATTAATGATTTGGGTTTTTTCTCCTTGTATTTGAGTTAGGAGTAATAGAGACTGCTGGGGACTATGTGTACAGATATTATGAAACTTTACCACTGCCCTCAAGAGGTAGATAATCTAGTTAGAGAAGAAAAATGTAGTATCAATGAGAGTAGGAAAACCATCAAGGAGTTGGGACTTAAGAGATTCTTTGTATTTAGGCAGTTACAGAAGATGGCAGAGCAAATACAGGGGTAGGGGTTGGAAGCCAGGATGGGCTAAGATTACAGAAAGGTATAGCTGAGGGAATTCTGCGTGAAGGCCTTGGCACTGAATGAAGGGTGTATACCAAGAAGTAGGGTAACCATGAAGAATAACAATTTTCCTCATATGATAAAATAATGGAAACTACTATGCTTTTTCCTTTCTAAAAGGGAATCATAAATATTTTTGGGGTACTGGGATGGAGATGAGGAAGCCTAAAATATTACAAGATGTGTAACACCATATTCCTTCTAACATGGTAACTATCCAGCTGGTAATGATATAAAAATTTGAGTCAAATAGATGCTTTAATAAAGATTATTCTTGTGTGCCGCAGCTGCCTGAAGGTATTCAGGCTTAAAGTGCTCTAAGGTACTTGGTATATTTCTCCTTATTACTTAATCTCTTCTGTATACACTCTCCCCCAAGGAAACCAGTTATTCCCATTAAATTATGCTATAAAAGGGCAGATGTTGGCTGGGCATGGTGGCTCATGCCTGTAATCCCAGCACTTTGGGAGGCCAAGGTGGGCAGATCACCTGAGGTCAGGAGTTCAAGAGCAGCCTGGGCATGATTGTGGGTACCTGTAATCCCAGCTACTTGGGAGGCTGAGGCAGGAGAATCGCTTGAACCCAGGAGGCGGATGTTGCAGTGGGCCGAGATCGTGCCATTGCACTCTAGCCGGGGCAACCGGGCAAAACTCAAACAAAAAAAAAAAAAAAAAAAAAAAAGGCAGATGTTTTCCCCATCCACTGTCCATTTTTTTCTTTTTTCTTTTTTTTTCTTGAGACAGATTCTCACTCTGTCACCCAGACTAAAGTGCAGTGAATGGCACAATCACAGCTCACTGCAGCTTTGACTTCCCAGGCTCAGTCAATCTTTCCACCTCAGCCTCTGGAGTAGCTGGGACTATATGTGCACATCATCATGCCCAGCTAATTTTTTGTAGAGACAGGGTATCAACATGGTGCTGAGGCTGGTCTCAAACTCTTGGGCTCAAGTGATTTGCCTGCCATGGCCTCACAAAGTGCTGGGATTAAGGTGAGAGCCACCATGCCTGGCCTTGTCTAATTCTTTATCATAGCAACAAAAATTGAATAGGATCATATAAGGCACGTGGGCACATGAAAGAAATATTTTCTTATTGAAGAACAGTTTAAAAAGGAATTCATTTTTCACTACTAGGTGCTTTAGAAAGATGAATTTCTGGGTAACAATTTTTAAGAAATGGAACAATATAGCAAATTAGCTAAGACAGATGCATACCTACTTTTTCTGCAGGGCTCTTAAAGCACACCATAACACTCTTTCTCCTCCTCCACCAGCATTGCAGTATGGATGAAAAAATGCAATCACCATTTGATTTTTCCCAGTTTTGCTAGTTGACACTAATTTTTTCTTTCTCTGTAGCAGCAGTCTGATTCCCCAAAGGATAATGACCAAACATACACATAAAGTTCCACATACAATTAGCCCAGGGAAGAATAATGAATAAAAAAACCTGAAATAAGAGGACAAAGTTGAGAAACAATGTGATATATACATTTAAAAATTTATAAAGTCTGCTTTTACATATCTACTTTATATATTAGTGACAAAGAGTTGTCTTTAACAAGTCTGCTAACTCCAAAATACTCAAGTATGAAAATTCTAATGCTGCTAAATATCCAACATTAAAAGGATAAGTCCTCCTTAATTCCAATCCCCCTAGCATGTTACCAATTTAACATACTTTAATCAGCAGTAAAAATCAACACTGAACCCCTTTTCTCCTCAGTTTATGTGTTATGGGATTAAAAACAAATGTAACTATTAATCTAAATAAAACATGATTAAGAATGTGTTACATACTGTCATTCTGAGGGTTAGATGCCAAAGAAATATGTCTTTTGAATGACCAATATTCCATTAGTTATAAGTCTGGTAAGATAGTAAATCTTCTTCATTCTGTCACTTCGCCTCAAATAGAACAATTTCCGGGATAAAGGAATGGAACTTAGATTTCTCCACTTCTATTTCAGTTCTGTATTTGCTGTATTTACACGACCTAATACTACTACCTTCCCTTATGTGCCTCTGAATGAGCTGCCAAAAACCCACTAATGTTCTACTAATATTCATTAATAAACTCATTCACAAAGTGACTATTAAAAGGTTCTCTATTACTGTCAGGTGGACTGAAGCTCTGCAAAAAACAAGGGCCCAGGCTTGCTCACTATAATATCCCTAATGCCAAGTATGATGACTGGCACAGAGAAAGCATCCAATAAATATACGACTGATGCAAAAGTTTATTACCTCTTCAGATGTTGCTTAAAATACGTTAAAATAAAATGTCAAGGTGCTTTTCTTTTAGGGTTGCCAATACAGTTGGAACCTAACCCAATATTTTTCATACTCTGCCTGTCCTTTATAAAGGATTTGAGGAAAGCTTATAAGATTTAAAAATAATAAAATGTGAAAAGTTAAATAGTGAACAGCAGACTGGCCTGTGGGCTGTTTAGTAGAGTAAGCAAATAGGAACTAATGCATAGTGTATCAGTTCGTTTTCACACTGCTGATAAAGACATGCCTGAAATGGGGAACAAAAAGAGTTTTAATTGGACTTACAGTTCCACATGGCTGGGGAGACCTCAGAATCATGGTGGGAGGTAAGGTACTTCTTACACAGTGGTGGCAAGGCAAAAATGAGGAAGAAGCCAAAGCCCAAACCCCTGATAAACCCATCAGATCTTGTGAGACTTATTCATTATCACAAGAATAGCATGGGAAAGACAGGTCCCCATGATTCAATTACCTTCCCCTGGGTCCTTCCCACAACAAATGGGAATTCTGGGAGATACAGTTCAACTTTAGATTTGGGTGGGGACACAGCCAAACCATATAATTCTGCCCCTGGCCCCTCCAAATGTCACATCCTCACATTTCAAAACCAATTATGCCTTCCCAACAGTCCCCCAGAGTCTTAACTCATTTCAGCATTAACCTAAAAGTCCGCAGTCCAAAGTATCATCTGAGAGAAGGAAAGTCCCTTCTGCCTATGAGCTTGTAAAATCACAAGTAAATTAGTTACTTCCTAAATATAATGGGGATACAGGTATTGGGTAAGTATAGCCATTCCAAATGGGAGATATTGGCCAAAACAAAGGGGTTACATGGCCCATGCAAGTCCGAAATCCAGTGGGGCAGTCAAATTTTAAAGCTTCAAAATGATCTCCTTTTACTCCAGGTCTCACATCCACGTCACGCTGAAGCAAGAGGTGGGTTCCCATGGTCTTGGGTAGCTGTGCCCCTGTGGCTTTACAGGGTGCAGCCTCCCTCCTGGCTGCTTCCATGGGCTGGTGTTGAGTGTCTCCAGCTCTTCTACGAACATGGTGCAAGCTGCTGGTGGATCTACCATTCTGGGGTCTGGAGGATGATGGCTCTCTTCTCACAGCTTCACTAGGCAGTGCTCCAGTAGGGACTCTGTGTGGAGGCTCCAACCCCACATTTCCCTTCTGCACTGCCCTAGCAGAGGTTCTTCATGAAGGCCCTGCCCTTGCAGCAAACTTTTGCCTGGGCGCCCAAGCATTTCAATACATCTGAAATCTAGGTGGGGGTTCCCAAACCTTAATTCTTGACTTCGGTGCACCCACAGGCTCAACACCACATGAAGCTACCAAGGCTTGGGGCTTCCACCCTCTGAAGCCACAGCATGAGCTCTATGTTGGCCCCTTTCAGCCATGGCTAGAGCAGCTGGGACACAGGGCACCAAGTCCCTACGCTGCACACAGCATGGGGACCAGGGGCCCAGCCCACAAAACCACTATTTCCTCTTCGGCCTCCAGGCCTGTAATGGGAGAGGCTGTTGTGAAGGTCTCTGACATGGTCTGCAGACATTTTCCCCATGGTCTTGAAGATTAATATTAGGCTCCTTGCTACTTATGCAAATTTCTGTAGGCAGCTTGAATTTCTCCTCAAAAAATGGGTTTTTCTTTTCTACTGTATTGTCAGGCTGCAAATTTTCTGAACTTTAATGTTCTGTTTTCCTTTTAAAATGGAATCCTTTTAACAGCACCCAAGTCACCTCCTGAATGCTTTCCTGTTTAGAAATTTATTGTGCCAGATACCCTAAATCATCTCTCCCAAGTTCAAAGTTTCACAAATATCTAGGGCAGGGGCAAAATGCCACCAGTCCCTTTGCTAAAACATAAGAAGGGTGATCTTTGCTCCAGTTTCCAACAAGTTCCTCATTTCCATCTGAGACCACCTCAGCCTGGATTTCATTGTCTATATCACTATCTGCATTTTGTTCAAAGTCATTCAACAAGTCTCTAGGAAGTTCTAAACTTTCCCACATTTTTCTGTCTTCTTCTGAGCCCTCCAAACTGTTCCAACCTCTGCCTGTTACCCAGCTCCAAAGTCGCTTCAACAGTTTTGGGTGTCTCTTCAGCAGCAGTCCATTCTACTGATACCAATTTACTGTATTAGTTCATTTTCATGCTGCTGATAAAGACATACCCGAGACTGGGAACAAAAATAGGTTTAATTGGACACAGGGCACCAAGTTTAATTGAATTTACAGTTCCATATGGATGGGAGGTCTCAGAATCATGGCAGGAGGTGTAAGGCACTTCTTACATGGTGGTGGCAAGAGAAAAATGAGGAAGAAGCAAAAGCAGAAGCCCCTGATAAACACCATCAGATCTCGTAAGACTTATTCACTATCACGAGACTTATTCTCTATCACTAGCAGGGAAAAGACTGGCCCCCATAAATCAATTACCTCCCACTAGGTCCCTCCCACAACACATGGGAATTCTGGGAGATATAATTCAACTTGAGATTTGGGTGGGGTCATGGCCAATCAGTATCACATAGTTTTCACAGTCCACATGAAAACATACAAACTCATCAGAAAAATAAATTTTGCTTTTTTGAGATACAGGGTTTCACTCTGTAACCCAGGTCAGAGTGCAGTAGTGCAATCATAGCTCACTGCAGCCTCAAACTCCTGGGCTAAAGTGATCCTCCCGCCTCAGATTCCTGAGATGCTGGGATACACCCAACATTTTTTAATTAAAAAGTTTTTTTTTTTGTAGAAATGGGGTTTTGCTATGTTGCCCAGGCTGGTCTCAAACTCCTGGCCTCAAGTGATCCTCCTGCCTTGGCCTTCCACAGCACTGAGATTACAGGCATGAACTGCTGCACCTGACCAGAAATAAATATTTTATTGATATTATTTTGAAATAAAATTCTCGTGGGATTTCCTATTTTGAAGAAATCCTCATTTGTTCCTATTGTGAACAAATCTCATGTGGGATTTCCGATTGTATACTTGGAAGAGGTAATTGATTATATTTGAAATCCCACATAAGCACTTTATTTCAAAGCTAAAATAATTTTGTCTCAGAACACGTTTATACTCTTTAAAATTTTACCAAGGATCCAACAGAGCTTTTGTTTATATCAGAGTTTCTCATCCTTGACACTACTGACATTTTGGACGAAATAATTCTTTGTTGGGGAGGTTCTCCTATGCATTATAGACATTTTGTAGCATCTTTGATCTTGACTCACTAAATGCCAGTAGCACCCCTCCCAATCAAAATTATCAGTTGGGCATGATGGCTCATGCCTGTAACCCCAACACTTTGGGAGGTTGAGGTGGGAGGACTGCTTGTGCCCAGGAGTTCGAGGCTGTAGTAAGCTATAATCATGCCACTGCACTCCAACCTGGGCAACAGAGCAAGACTCTATTTCTAAAAAAATAAATAAAAAAACCTCCAGATATTGCCAAATGCTAAATGTCTTGTGAAGGGCAAAAGTCACACCTGGTTGAGAACCAGTGGTTTACACTGCTTATATCTGCCAATATTTAGTATATTAGAAATGAAAACTAAAGAACTTTAAAATTTTTATGAATTCACTTAAAATTCTTTCATTACATATTAACATATTTTTTATTTTAAAAAAACTGTCTTTTCCAAACCAAAAAAAGATATTTAGCAAGAAGGGTGCCAATGTTTTACGTTTTTTGCAAATCTCTTTAATGTTTGGCTTGACGTGAAACCAGATAGTGGCTACTGTTTTCTGTTTCTGCATTAAATCTGTAGTGATATGTTGTTTTTGTTGAAGTATATGACGAAAGTTCAGGCTCACTTAGATATGTAGTAGGAAAAGGGAGTATATTTTAATACATATTGATCTTATGTTTAGAATATATTTAAGTTTTCACATAGTTACAGATATTCTTTGATCCTAGACCAGATTTGACAAGTTAATGCAATTTCTAATGTCAGTTGCAACATAGACTCTGAAACCCTATCAATGACCTTTTCATACAGTTAACTAAAATCCACTAGTGTAATTTGCAGTTCAAATTATCTTTTTTAAAATTTTTACGATGTAAAAAGTTACATAAAATATTTAACTTTTTACATCAATCGTAAAAATTAAAATAATAGATTGTCAAAAAGCAGAGGATTCAACATAAGCTTTATATTTAAGTGATGTGTTAACAATGGAAGCTTTGGTGAGTTTAAGAGGAGAAACTAAGATGAGAAGGAAGATCCTGTTCTTTACCGAAAAGAGACATGATAGATTGGAAAATGTCTCTGGCTCAATAGTAAAGAAAAATGAGGAATGAATATAAACAATTTATGACAGACTAATTAGAGTGTGAAAGAGAAAGAAAAAGCTGAAACAGGGAAGGGAACACGACCCTTCAGTCAACAGTAAAGCAGAAGAAAACGCGGAAAACTGAGTCAAGACCTAGTCTGTTCCAGCCCATACAGGCCTCCAAGAAAAAGACTGCTCATTGGCCTGAGAAATTACCTTAGATTCATGACAAGGTAAGCCATTTCCCCGCAAAATATAGCTACACTGGACAGGCAAGTACCACTATAAAACAGAAAACGTCTGTGAGCCCACACGACCGGCTCCTCACCTCAAAAAGCTGCACAGGGACCAGACCCCTTGGGCGGCCGCCATCTTCCGCCGACCCGCGAACACAGGAAATGCTTCACTTTCCTTTTCTCTATTGGCTCCCGATAAAGCGAGTCGTGCTCGCCCCGCCCCCACGGGCCAATTGTGCGTTACAATTGGTTACTGGTAGCTGCTTCCCACGGCCTTCCAGCCAATAGAATCTGCCGAGGTGTAGACTAACGTTCGGCGTGGTGAACACGGATCTCCGCCCCCTTGGGCGGGACAGCAGTGGGGGTTGGGCCGAGGAGGGCGTGGCCTGTGATTGACAGCCGTCGCTCCCGCCCTCGGTCCCCTCCCCCACTGGAAGCCCCAGCCTGGGCACCCGCGACCCCGCCCCCGGTCGAGAGCCCGCCACCCGTTGGAGGCCAGTGGCTGGCCTTTGCACACCACAGATCGATTTTTCAGGTGCGGAGTTCACTCTCGCCGCGGTTGCTTCCTTTGGGATCCGAGGCACCGGCAGCCAGGCTCAGAGTCCGAAGAGGGGCGGCGCAGAGCGGACCCGTTGCGGCGCCACCCGGCACCTTCCCTGCAGGCGTTGGGCTAGCTCTGGGAGCCGGGTCTGCGGCCCGGTTCTGCGCCGCTCACCTGCCCTTCCGCTCCCGCACACGCCTGAGATCCCAGGACAGTGTAGGAGCGAACCGGCGCGAGGTGGCCGAGACCGCGGACCAGGACGGGCCTCCCTGTGGCACCGGCACGGCCGAGGACACTGAGGCACCGGCGGGGCCGGCAGCTCCAGGGCGGGCACTGCCAGCCCCCCAGGGAGTGGGTGAGAGTCCGAGGCCCACTCGCCCCGCATCCGCGGGTCGGGAGGACGGCGGCGCGCAACGTTGAAACAGCCTTGTGGCTAGGGCAGCACATTGCCCAGTCCCAAATCAACTGGCGGCGCCCGGACCCCTCCTTGCATTAGAGCCGGGCCAACGCCCTCACGCCCAGCGCCTCCTCTCCCGGTGGCTTTACACCGCGCCCTCCTCCGCCGACCTGGTGACCTTTGGCTCTGAGCCGGATCAGAGAAGAATTCCGTGTCCGCGCGGGACGATGCCTGAGCAGGAGAGACAGATCACAGCCAGAGAAGGGGCCAGTCGGAAAGTGAGTTTCCTTCCCCCGCGCCCGCGCAGCGTGCGCACTCCCACCCGGAGGACTTTCCTCCCCACGTTCGGCGCTTACTCCCTGTGGGTGCGCAGAGAAGGCCGAGCCAGAGCCACAGCTCCAGGGGCGTCGTGGTTTGGGAGAAAAGGACCCTTTAGAAAGAGCTTGTCGAACAATGGAAAACCCCGCACCTCAAAATTCATCTTTATGCTTTTAAGGGGTCTCATGCTGGAGAGGTAAAGTGAGCGTCGATTTGCTATGCTAGAGCTCTCATGACTCTGAACGATGAAGTTAATTACCTGGATAAGTTATTCAGAGTCTGGTGCTTGGACCAGATATAAGAGTCTGGTGCTTAGACCAGTTATGGTATATCAAGGCCCTGGAACTTTTATAACTGTTTTAAATTCATTTTAATTGTACGAGTAATACATTAAGACAGTCTTTTAAAAATGCAAACCGGCCTGAAATACTTGGCATGAAAAGCAGATCTATTTTCCAGTCTTTTTCTATTCATGTACCTATGTCTTCAGCAAATATTTATTGAGAACTTATGTTTCAGGCGCAGTGTTGAAGAGTTGATACAATAGTTAACAAAACATGTATCTGTATGTAATATGCACAAACTCAGAGAACTCTTGAGGTTTCGTTTGTGTGAGGTTTTAAAATTTTTGTTTTACCTAAATGAGATCACTGTATGTGTATTCTCTTTTTTAGTTTAACAGTATATGTTGGAGATTGTTTAACTGTCTTATTCAGTGCAACCTCTGCAGAGTTTGAATGCCTCATAGCTTTTTCATGGTTTTCTAGTAGTGGGCATTCTGTTTGCTACTTTTTTTCTGTCTCTCTTGCAAGTGAACATCTCTGTACATGATTTTTAATGCTGACACTTTTTCTTTAGGATAGACACTTAAGCCTGGATTGCTGGACAGAACAGTAGGCTGTTTCTTTTCCACAAATTTCTGAAACTAATTCAGCTACATTGCTGGGTGCCCTTTAGTGAATTCATCTAGGCTCTGGTGATACAGAAATGAAAACTAATTGATTAACGGATGGACAGAGAGAAGCTGGTTAATAGGTCATTTGTACGGTGTGATGACTATGCATTTGATAGGGGTATGAAGAAATGTTGGGAGGGGTGGCTTGTGCAGAGGAGACACTTTCAACTTCCTACAGTGTCCCCACCTAGAGAAAAAAATCCTTATCCTTCCAAATCAAGCCCAAGACTTACCACCTCCTTGAAACGTTCTGTAACTGCTCCTGCCCATGTTGACCTAACTGTCTTCTGGAATCCTCTGATAATAGTGTTGACCAACGTTATTAAGCTTACACATGTGCTAGGCATTGCATTATGCACTTCCTATCCCTCTATGTGCACTCTTGCATTTAATCCTCACAAAAACCCTTTGATGTAGGTATTATATCTTGTTATCAACATTTATTCGACAAATATTTTTTTGAGTACACCCATGAACCAGGTGTTTTAGACACTGGGGATTTAGCTAGGACCAAGACCTTGCCCTCATGAATTTACATCCTAGTAGGAGATAGGAAAAAAAGGGGAGGGGATAAACAAATATATAGCATAGGGTTTAAGGGAAAACAACTTCCATGCCCCATGAAGATTCACTGAAAAATCAACTGACAAATGACAGATTAGTAGAGAAGGCATACACATTTATTAAGGTGTGTGAGAATCTTATAAAATAAAATCTCAAAGAAAGGCAAGATCGTTACCACTTTTATATCATCTTGAGGTTACAGAAAGAGTGGGGCCTCTAAGCTTGGGCAAAAACAAGTTATGGTTGTAAATCAGGTTATAGGAGGGAGAGAAGAGGAGACCCGACTAGCAAAAGTGGTCTTATGTAGATGAAACCTCACAGGTAGCAGCCCTCAGTGAGAATAAATGTTTCAGACCTTGAAGCTTCCAAACTCAGCTGATCTCTCCCAGATCCAGACAAGGAAGGGCCTTTTAAAAAAACCTGGCTGCATTAATGTAGATTCTTTACAGATGCTTATCTCTCTCACAAAAGACAGTAGGACTGCTTTTATCTGTAGGCCCTCTGAACGGCCATGTCAAAATATGTCAAGTCTATTTTGAAGTGAAATGTTTTGGTTTTCTTCAGTAACTTTATTTCAAGTACTGGTAAGTACTGTAAAGAAAATAAAGCATTTTGGGGCCAGAAGTTCAAGATCAGCCTGGGCAGCATATCAAGATATCGTTTCTAACACACACACACACACACACACACACACACACACACACACACACAAAATTAGTTGCACATGGCAGTGTGTGCCGTTGTCCCAGCACTTGGGAGGCTGAGGCAGGAGTATGGCTTGAGCCCAGGAGTTTGAGGCTGCAGTGAGCTGTGATCCCACCTCTGTACTTCAGCCTGAGTGACAAAGCAAGGTCCTGTCTCCAAAAAGAAAAGAAAGCAGAGTAAGGGAATAAGATAAGGAATGACATGAGTGCAGAGGAAGATGCTGTTTTAAGTTTTAAGTAGGTAGTTAGGGAGTGATTTCTCTGGGAAGGCAGGATTTTAGTAGAGACCTGTATGATTCAGATTTCAGAGAAGTGTCCTAGGCTGAGAAACCATAAAGTGTGAGAGTCCTAAGGCAGGCGTGTGGTAAGAAGAAATATATACTTGGTCTTGTCCCAAGTTCCTGACATAGCTTCTAAAACCCTTGTAATTTTTTGAGAAATGGTGATAAGAGCATCTTTTGTTATTTATAGCAAATCCCTTTCACCTCTACCTGAGTTTCTGCTAACCAGAGGGCCCTTGATGGGCCCCTAGATAGCTTCAGGATGGAGGCTGATTGCCTGAGGAACCAACCACGTGATTAGGGTATTCGGAGTTTCAGCCCCATACTGTAACCTCTGGAGATTGTGTCAGTCACCAATGGACAATGATCTAAACAGTCATGCCTGCAGCATAGAGCTTTCTTAAAATTTTTTTTTTTTAACCAATGCAGTGGATCACAAATAGAGCTTTCTTAAAAACCCTAAATGATGGGTTTTGAGAGCTTCCTGTTGGTGAACACATCAAGGTGCTGGGAAGGTGATGCCTGGAAAGGGAATGGAAGCGCCTGGAAACTTCCATTCCCATATCTTGTCCTCTCTTTTCCATGTGGTGGTTTCTTAGCTGTGTTTTTATAATAAACTGGTGATAGTAAATAAAGTGCTTTTCTAAGTTCTGTGAGCTGCTCTAGCAAACTACCCAATCTGAGGAGGTGATTGTAGGAACCTCCTGACTTCACAGTCAGTTGGAAGTGCAGGCAGCCCAGACTTGGCGACTGGCACGTGAAGTGTGGGCATTCTTGTGGGCCTGAGCCCATACCTGTGAGGTCTGTGCTAACTCCAGGTGGTTGGGGTCAGAACTGAATTGAATTGTAGGGTACCCAGTTAGTGTCTGGAGAGTGAGAATTGGTTGGTGTGAAGAAAACCCCCACGTTTGGTGTTAGAAGTGTCGTGAGTGGAAACAGTACAGAAGAGTTTGGGGAACAATAAGAAAGCCAGAGTGGCTAGAGCAGAGGGAAGGACAGGGAGTGGTAGAACAGGAGGTCAGAGCTCATCATTGCTTTACAGATGGGGAGACTGAGTCAGGCACAAGTTAAGTACCTTGCTAATAAAAGGCAGATCTAGGATTGAGTCCTAACCAGGCCTGCCTGACTTTCTCAGCTATTTGTTATTGTCAAAACTTATTTGACACTTGTCATATCACCTGGCAGGATTATTTACTGAATATAGCTTTTATTTGCAAAGAGGTGTGCTTGAAATGGGGACCAGGTTTGTACCCTTTAAAAAAATATTTCCCACAGCACATATAGGTGCACCACAGTTGTTCTTGAATGAATGAATTCTCGACATGATTTCTCCATGTTGTGGAGACCTCTCTGTGGGGCAGCAGTCACCTGGTCATTCAGCCTCAGTCCACAAACATGGAGCACT